GTATATATCCTTCGAAGCAACCCTAATTAAAATTTCTCCACTTTTAAATTGGACGATTCTTCCACAAAAATAATCTGCTCATTGGTACATGTACATATATCATTCGAAGCAACCCTAATCCACGTTTGCAGCCGTTGGATTTCGCTATTCGACGCGGCAGCTTCGAACTGTAATTCACAGTTGCCGATTTACAAACGTGTCATTCGTAGAATTCCGAATTTTTCCGTTTGACATTTCGAATATACGAAGATCGGAGCTTGCGCAAGAATGCGTTGGCTGATTGTGGAGGAACGGATAGGAGCCAGAGGGAGCAGAAGCGGGATTAATCGAAAAGGAGGAGAGGAAGAAAAAAGGGTTCGGTTCCGATAGAAATTTATGCAGAGAGGAACCCTTTTGGCCCGCTTTGTTCGGCTATGGAACTCGCAGATGGCTCGCCGAGATTCCGAGTCCCTCTTCTCGTTCACCTTGTTCTTATTAGGCTGATTGTTTATTTTGTACTGTTAAACCGGCGATGATTCATTACCTTGATCGGAATAAACCGATTTTTCTAACCCCTTGCGAACCGGTACGCAGATAAGACGCGTCGTTTAGTGTTACAAGGTCGCTAGGCGCTTCGAACAATGTTAATTGACTGTATTGCGCTGACTTATTTCTTCTGAGCGAGCGTCACTCTCCGCGACGCACCTTCACCTGAAAAATGCAACTGGCTGTATTCGTGAAACGATCGTGTAATCGTGCAAAGCTCTGGGGAAGGTGAATCTCGCCGTCTCCGAACTTCAGATCTGTTGACTTTGATTTTTTCAACAGGTACAGCGGTTCCAAGTGAAAGGAAACTTTGGACACAAAGGCGGTGATCTTGAAACGTCGCATCTGAATCTGTGAATCATTTAGGGGAAGCTGACGGTCACCTCATGTATTGCTCGGTAATTATTGGGTTGGTGCATACGAAATTTCACGTACACTATATTCCTTCATAAAAAGTAACGTGTTTAAACGAAATCATTACTACACGATTTTACACACTTTTACCAACTTTTTCAAATCTGCAAAAATCATTATGCGTTGAATGAAAATATTCTTCGAATGCTGCTTTTAACGGTGTCTTCGTTTTGAAATAATTCAGCTGTTGAAGAAATTGTTCAGGTGTTTGAAGAAATGGTAGTTTGTTGGGGGAAGGTCGAGTGAATTAGGGGAGAATGTGGTAAAATTTCATATTCTTTACCGTGGAATGTTTTTAATAATTTTCGTTAAAACGTTATCATCGACGTCCCTTCCTCTTTTTTTCGGACCCAACATTTTTTTCTGATTTCAACCCATGGAATATACTGACAACGTTTGGTCGTTAAAATCTGGGACACCCTTTATGGTGTCGATCCTTTGAAAAAACGAAATTTCATTTGCACCAATCTAATTTTATATAGAACAAAATATATCTTAACACCCAATAACGCCACATTTCTTCACATATAGTCTCATTTTAATTGTTCACTTCTACCAGCCAATATTTTAACAATAATTACAATTTACAATTATTATCAAATTCTCCTATCAAAATGTACAATTCTACTCATCTTTTCACGAACGAAGGAAAATCAGGTTACAGAGGATTGACTCTCGTCAATAAAATAGAATATCAAATAGCTTGAACTTTTCACCGAGTAAAGTGGTGCAAAGAGGAATACTCGGGTTGCAGGTTGCATAAATATGGTTTCTCGGTCAGTTTCGACACCGGAAACTGGCTTTGTCCTTTTCCCTTCTTTCCAACCCACGGTCCGTTTGTTACATACCCGTGATGGGCTCATTCTCTTCGCGGTTGCACAACGATCTACACGGTGCAGCGAAATCGACAAAAATTCCACGCTCAAATTTCAAACGCGTTTTACTCCAACAAGTCCATCAATTGTTCTTACGTTCTTACATATCCCTTAAATGCTGTGAATATAAGGTGACACCAAAAACGGTGCTAATTAGAAAAGTATTTTCTAACGAGGGACACTGTATGGTCGGGCAACATTTTCCCCTCGAATTCCACTGCTGACTTATCAGCACCTGCCAAATTACACCAATTCTGTCGCCGATAGATATACAAAGCTGCGTATGGCAATTTCTACGGCAAATGAAATCCGACAAAATGCTAAAATCAATTTTACCGGAGGATTATGAATACAACGCGAATAACGTATCGCTTGGTATAGATCTTTATTACTATCTTTATTAAGAGAGAACACTTTGTCCCATTCGAAGAGAACGAAACGGGGCAGAAGTGTTGCGCGACTGGTTCTTCCCGTGTAGAATCGTACCGAAAATTTCACGTACGAATTACGCTGGTCACGGTATCGTCGCGATCTACGACACAGTTCGGGTCGTTTATTGTCACGAAAATGAGAATAATTGAGCTGTGAACGGTGGACAGAAGAACGGAGTCAGGTTTCACGCGGAAAGAAAGTTGACTTGGTTGTTGTCGTGGTTGTTGACAGCGCATAATGACAGTGGAAGCTACTGAAGTGACAAAAGATGATCGATCGATTTGGTGATCGACGTGAAATCTCCGAATACGCGATCCGTCTCGATGGGTCGATTGCCGTCTTTCTTCTTTTACGGAAATCCTCTTTGACACTTTAAATGCTAAGCGGCACTCCGCCTTAATCGGTTTCGCAGATGTGATTCTCGCTTTGGTCACGTCCCAAGTAGTTTTTGCGTTTCGCGCGAACGCCTAACTGTCGTGCAGCTTTTTAATTAATGACTAGAGAGAGATGGTTCTTTCAGATTTCACAACGCGACACGTTTCTATGTGTACCAATGCTGCGAGATTTAGCTCAAGTTTGTAGACACGAATACACAAACATTCGGCAAATTTACTTACAGAGGTCACTTTTATGCAAATTATCACCGTCCCGAGATAATCGAGCGCGAGCTGTTAAGTTCGCCAGACGATGAAAAAATGATTCATTCGTAAGATGCATTTTGAGACTACAGGTGAATCATAGATAGATTTACGGCGCGAATATCCGGCTGTAAATTATATTCGAAGTTACACCGAAGATAGATGTGAACAGAGGAGTGTGATTAATTGTCGAAAATTTGTCAAAATCAATTTCCACCGAAAGCCTCTATTCGTCCAGCGCGCGAAGCGCGTCCAGAAGGCGCGGCAGGCCTCTCAGTAATTGTACCAGTGGACCACAGTCCCTTCCACAAGGTGAACTTGATTTTCTCCCTCGAAATAAACGAAGTTAATCTGTCGAAAGGAATTTGACCTGAAATTCAAGCGCCGCGATACGTAAAACCACGTTAAATAAACCCGTTTTCAGCCTGTGCTTTCGTTCGTACATTTTTTTCTCTTTCTTATATAATTACGGTGTCACTTGAGATTTGGCGTTTATGTTTCGCGTGTTACATTAGAATAGTATTGTGTAATCGGTCGAGCGTCAGGTAACGAGTTGCACGTTTCTCGAGAGATTGAATAATCCGTCCATTCGAAGAAAGATAAATCTTCGGTCAGCGTGTATGTTAAGGATAAGAGGGGACAAAAAAAGGAGATAAGGAACAGAGTGCTGCTTACACGTGTCTCTCTTCGAGTAAAAGTTCGTGTAACACTTGACTAATCAGTTGGGAATCAATCGTAAATCCTCTTAAGTGACAAAATGAAATAACTTTCGTTCGCGAATTTCGCCAGATTTCGTCGTCAAATTATTAGCTGGACGTCGATATATCTCGGTGCCTAACTTTCATAATAACCGCCAATGGTATCCGACGTGACGTAGTTCGTCTAGGATCGTCGACAGATTGGAAAGAAA